CGCCGATGATATTGCTTTTTTCTCGTCATCCCGAGGTATCAATAGTTTGTATCAAATCTTACAGTCATATTTGAGTAAGCTTGAGGTATCGCTTGGCGGGCTGTCTTTTTCACTTAATGTTAGCAAATGTGCTCTCCGTGTATTCCCCCTATCCGTTCCCGTATTTATTTCACTGCATTATCGAAATGATCCTATTCCACAAGTAACAGCACTAAAATATCTTGGCATTGTTTACGTGGACAATTCAAATTGGCAGCAACAAATAGAATCAAACACCTGTAAAGCAGAAAGTGCCCTAGGATTGCTACGCCGGTTTTGCAATAAGAATTCAGGGATGCGCAGGAATACGGTACTTATGATATACAAATTTTACGTACGCCCAATTCTGGAGCTTGGTTGCGTTCTGTTTTCCAGAAGTGCTGAGTACAAATTAAGACCTCTTATATTGCTAGAAAGGCAAGCTCTGCGGCTGTGTCTCGGGCTATGTGTGTCGCGAATAGCGTGCTTTATTTGGAAGCTAGAATCATTCCACTTGATGCTAGATTTCGACAGTTTACTGTGCAAACATCTTTAAAACTTTACGATGCGCCCCTCTTCTGTTCAGAGACAGTTTTCATCAAACATACAGTTTTTTTCTTTCAGCGCCCGTGGTTTCGTTATCAAAGACCCCGAGTCATTTTCGTCGAGTCTCTGTTATCAAATCTTCACGTTTCCCTCCAGCATTTAACTCCCCAAACCCAATGCTTGGTGCCAGCTGACTTAATTTTCAATAATATTTTTCCGAAAAATGAGAAGTTACTTCCAAAGCATGTTCTGGAGGGCCTCCTTCAAGGCCATCTCAGTCATTTTCCTAAATACGTAGTAATTTCGACGGATGCAACGCAAAATCTTCAGAAGGCTGGAGTAGGTACTTTTTCACATCAGCGTAATTGGTCTTTTGCACTCCGATTGCTTGACTTCACACCAATTATCTCGCAGAATTCCTGGCTATTACATTGGCTCTTCGAAAACTAAATTATCTGCAATCAAAAGCTATTATTGTTTCGGATGCTTTGTCTGTTTGTACACATCTGACGTCCGCAAAGCAGTCTCCTCTTCTCAGGATATTTTGGTTTCTCGTACCGCATAGCCTATCAGAAGTTCGGTTTATTTGGGTCCCCGGGCATGCTGGAATTGAACTAAATGAAATTGCTGATTCGCTCGCTTCAGCATCTTTAAATTTCCCGGTGGTGCTAGTAGCCCCTGAGTTTGCTTTTATTACTGCCGAATGATTCAAACGACTGTTAATCTTAAAAATCAACGTAACGTCTCTCCTACAATCTGAAGTTCGGCGCTTGCAATTCACATGGAACACCGCAAAATGCCTTTCCCGTCAATGTGAGGTGACCTTCACAAGCTTTCGCTGTAGAGTTTCTTGGCTAAATGTTTATCTCAACAAATCAGGATTTTCAATAACTAACCTATGTGCAGTTTGCAATGAACCAGAAAACAATAGATCACTTTCTTCTAACATGCCGCCGCTTTGCCTCTCTGCGACGAATAATTCTTGAAAGACCGATTGGTATGCTCGGATTGCCAGTCAATACATCCACCCTATTATCGTTTGGAGCCAGTCAGTTGGGTGTGGGCCGCAGTGCTATTCTGTCAGCGCTACATAAATTCATCCAGGCAACCAAAAGGATACGCTGCTAGTGTTACTGCCAGATATATCCAATTCTTTGTCCCCTTTTCTCATTCTTGTTAATTTGTTTTATATATTCTGGTTTATCGCATTCTTCTGCACTTTTCACGTTTTTTTAAAGGAACATTATTATTGTTCCTATCTAATTTCTGTTCCTTTTTTAGCAAGCGTTGTAAAAAAATTATCTATTATGAGGTACAAAGTGGCCAATCCCCCATGTGGGTAAGAGCCAAGATATCCCAGGCGACAAGACAAGACAAGACACTGCCCGTGTTGCGTTCAGATTGAGGAAGAAGACGAAGACAGGCCGCGGCTGATCGTTCGAGAGCAGTGCTGCTCGAGCGTGCTCGAAATAATAGCACGCCACTACCTGACGCTTGGGCACCGTTAGCCGCCCTGGAGCGCACCTCTTGAAGACAAGCAGGGTTGCCGCGACTGCACCGAGGCAGGCGGTGCCAGGGCCATTTCCAGCAGGCGACCCATGTCACACACACAGTATCCCTGCGATGCGAAAACGGAGACCGAGGTAGGCCCATTTCACAGCTTGGTAGTTCGTGGTTAGGCGTACTTTAAGCTTTTAGTAGTAGCGATTGGTTTATATGATTAAATACTCTGCTTTTCATCATTTTCACATTGGCCGGAGCAGTAATGTCTGTCGACAAAAATTTCACGTTCGCAAGAGCACAGTCTTCGTTTGGGTACATACTCGGGAGTGTTGCTTGTTGGGCACGTTTCTACATTGGTGAGCACTTTATTGTGAGCACGCGAGCACGTGGCGCGCAGAACTACGAGCGCCGCGTAATACCCATCGTCAGAAACACTGCGCATGCGCAGCTTGCGCTTGGTGATGCACACTTTCCACCACACGCACCACGTCACGTATACGCCTGTTCATCGTATGCTAGACGCATTGTGTCTGTTAAGCTGGTGCATGCTGCTTTTAAGGTTATTTCCTTCTTGCCAATTCTCTTGAATAAATAGTGCAAATGTAAAGTGTTTTGTACTCATTTTAGAATTCACGGGCAAAACTGAAATCGAGATGGACCTTGGAATGCATGGCCCGCTAGCTTAGCCTACAAAAATGTGGCTAGCAGACAACGAACATGCGTATGAATGGTGGGAGTGGTGAAAAGAGTGTATATCACCGAGCCCATGCTGCGCATGTACAATGTTTCCAATGATGGGTGTTACGCGGTGCTGGTTATGCTGTGCGCCACGCGCTAGCATGTTGATTGATATGTGGGTTTAACGTCCCAAAACCACTATATGATTATGAGAGACGCCGTAGTGGAGGGCTCCGGAAATTTAGACCACCTGGGGTTCTTTAACGTGCGCCCAAATCTGAGCACACGGGCCTACAACATTTCTGCCTCCATCGGAAATGCAGCCGCCGCAGCCGGAATTCGAACCCGCGCCCTGCGGGTCAGCAGCCGAGTACCTTAGCCACTAGACCACCACGGCGGGGCACGCGCTAGCATGTTCACCATAACAGTGCTCAATGCTGTACACTCTTAACCCTACGAGGACACTGAATCATCGAGAAAAAAAAAGAGAGTCCGAATAAGATACAGTGGCACGGACGTGGTTCTGTGTCACAGTCTCTTTTTCCGCCTCTCAGAACTTTTTCTCTTTTGTGCACGTTTTAGTGTCTTTTTCCAGGTTTACGTTGTGAGATGAAATAGGAGGGGAGTGTAGCAGTGGAGGGTGAGTTATGCGTTTATTGTTTGCAATACATTTCATTAAAACGTTATTAACACGACTGAGCCTGTTAAAAGAGAAGCTCTTTGTTTTAGCTACCATTGATACGATAGACATTTCTCAGCCTTTTCCAATGTCTCACCCTTCTGGCAACTCGTAGCCACAACCAAAACCTAAAGCTAATGCATGCCTTGATCGAGTCCCCACATTGTGCTACTTGAATCAGTACTTTAAATTTAACCTATTTCTACTCGTAGGTCGCATATTCTTATTCTTGGGCGCTTAAATCTAGAACTGATTGTACAAGCATAGGTACTTTTTTGCAACAGTTCATCTTTAGAAGGCTTTATCTGGGTTTGTTCGCGCCTTACCGTTGACTAATTCGTTGTCTGCGTTTGACATCTGATCAGATTTGGGTGCACGTTAAAGAACCCCAGGTGGTCGAAATTTCCGGAGCCCTCCACTACGGCGTCTCTCATAATCATATGCTGGTTTTTGGACGTTAAACCCCACATATAAATCAAATCAGCGTTTGACATGTGACGTTATCGCCACTACAGCCATAGCACATGAGGGGCCGCAGCATGAATAAATATAATGAATGAATAAGTGTGAATTAAGAAAATAATCATCATAATAATTCTCCGTCTGTTTTGCTCCCCTGCGTGACGACGACCACCCCCAATGATCTTCACTTGTCATATTCTGTGCGAGCTGATTCCGAATCCACTGGATGGGCTCACAAGCACAGGGCAACGTGTTTCTAAATCACAAACTCCCATGCTCCATTTTTGCACACAAAGCTTTCAGGAAGATGTTTTTTCGCGCGCGAATTTCGGAATGAGCCCTGCGCTAATACCTGGCGCCCCATACAGTCGCGCTATTTCAACTCTCGTGACGACTCGCTTGCTGCATTTCGTGCCGACGAGTTGTGTCTCTGCGATCTTCGACGACAGCGCAGCTCTGGCCAACTGGCCATCACCTGACGCCGACAAGAGCTCTCACCGAGTGGTGCCCCGTCCTCTGACTCCTGCGACCGTGTCCATCTTTCCTATCTCCTCCTTACTTCCGTATGTGGCTCTCTCTGCCCCTCACTCTCTCCTTCCGCTTTCTCTATCTCTGTACCTTTTAGTCCTGTCCTTTTAACCCCTCCCTTACCCCCATCCCCCGAGAGCCACTGTTGCGGTGTCCTCCACCTGAGAGACAGTTACGGAGCTCACTTTTTTTTTCCTTTCACTTAAGAATCACTCTACCCCCCCCCCCCTTCTCTCGTCACTGAAACTACTCGTAGCTGAAGGTCATTGGCGAACACAATCTGCTCGCGCCCTGTCCTTACGGGGAGCGGCGAGTGTCAGCACCAACGTTAGTCAGCATCTAACTTATTCTTACACCGTGCCTAAACGCAAGTCAAGCCAAAACATGAGCAGAGGGCAAACGCATGGAAAAGCTCTCTCATCGCTAGCATGCATGTGTTGCATATGCTTTGATGGTGGACAAGGTTTTGTTGTAGTCTGTATGAACGTTTCATTGGCAGTGTGTCTCATTTCGGAACTGAATCAGAACGTGTTGCGCTGCCCACAGCCTAATTATGTTTGTTTTGCAACGGTTTCGGATATTGCAGAATGACGAAGCGACATCAAAACCGGTTGACCGCACTCTGGCCGATGTGGTACCGAAGAGTCCCAAGCTTGAGAGGCCACATGGCAAGTCAAAGGTGGGATATCGCTTGCAAAAAAAAAAAAGCGGGAAGTTACGTAAAAGTTTACGTCTTACTTAAAATGCGCGTCGTGTAGCCACTAGAGACTTATTTCATTCTTGTAGACGTAAGCAGCCGTGCCATTCGTACTGCTTCGTGACATCGATAGTCTTCATTGTGCAGAAGCGTAAATAATGCTTTCTTGAAACAACATTAACAAAAGGTTCAGGAGTCATTTCATTCAGCGATGGTGAAGAGAAGCATTTATTTTCATCATTTCGTATTGTAAGTGATAATTGCAGCTACTGTGTGAAGTTTATTTCGGTTACGACTTTTTACATATTATTGGTGAAGGTTAAATCTATGCGTGAACATTGTAAGAGTAGTTTAGAGACATGGATTGGTGGGGAATTTCAAACCAGATTTTTGTAGCATGAACAGAGTGAAGTGTTTCTATCGGGGTTTCGAACGTTTCAAAATTTAATGCACAGAGGTGGTGTCATCATGCCTAAACGATAGAGAGGTAACAAGTAAAAAAGTGTGGCCTCTTTCCCCACAGAGAGGAGTAATCTTATGTGTGTGTTCGTTTATTTAATACACCTTTATTAGTAGGCTTTGGGGGCTGAGTGCTTCAATCCTGCTTGACGTCCACTGCGGGCAAGCCCAGACATCAGTATTTTCTGAATATGGCTGCAGCAAGCATAAAAAAAATATATGAACCCGACACCACCTCGTCGGGTAAAGTTCACCTAGAATTACGATACTTTGTGCAGTGGTTATGAGGTGTTGCATTCTACGTGTGGGGTTATTTAGATATGCTACTTTTTACGGTGACCAGCTCGCGTCAAGTAAGCCTTTTAGAAGGTACGAGATTGCCAAATATTTACGTTTACGTAAATAACTACATTATTCGTCACTGAGCCGATGAAATTGCAAGAGTACCTAAAATGTACTCATGTGACACACACATTTATACTATTTCCTGTTACAATAGTAATGATTGCCTTGTATTAGGTATACGTAATGACGTATCATAGGCTTTTTGAGTGTGAGGTGAGTTAAAATTAGTAGCTCGCACACCACGAATGTCCCTAATTTTTAGTTTTCTTTCTTTTTTTACAATAGTTCACTTTTCAGCGTTGGCATATAGGATCCATTTTTTTTTCATTCGTAATGCACCACCTCATTTTATATTGTGTCATTTCGTATGACACACTGCTTTTTTAAAATTCTCCCCGTGTGTCGCCCTTGCTTAGGGTTTTTAAGGTCAGTAAGATGAAAAAGCGCTGCACGTAACACATCCTGGCAATGATTTTGTGTTCAGCTGGAAATGATTTCAAAGATGGTTATGTTCCTTTGGTTTTTCCCTATTTCCAGAGCAAGCGGTCACCAACTTCAGCCTCGTCGCCATCACGCACAAAGAAGGAGGGCATCAGTAGCGTCTGCAGTGGATCACGAGCAAAGAGCACCACGCTGTCGGTCAGTGCGTGCCCATCACCGGCACTCGTATCTGTGCAGCACCACATGGGTCCTATTGAAGGGATTTATATGTAAGGTTTCACGTCCTAAAACCACCATATGGTTATGAAACACGCCTTAGTGGAGGGCTCCAGAAATTTTTACCACCCGGCGTTTTTTAACGTGCACTGAAATCTTAACCCACGGGCACAGGGGTCCGTCTTGTTCAAACTCGAGATTCATTTTCCGTGTATTTGGTACTGTTCAAGAGGCACTCAGAGAAAACGATTAACAAAAAGTTTCCATGATGTATTATTCGATTAAAAACCATACCTTCCAGTGGTTCGAGTGAACTTTTGGTATAAACCACCGTTTGCATGAAGGCAGCTGCCCCCCTTAGTCTCCTTAGAGGAGGTGGTTGGAAAGCCTGCCTCGTAATAATAACTAGGAGGGGAGGGGCGCACAGATAAATTTCCGCATTCCATCCATGAAGGGGAACCCTGCGCTTGTAGATGTTTGCACTCCGTTGCGATTTCATGAATTCCAGAATAATTTCTTTTACCTGGAAATGTTTTCAGAATTTATGACGTTTAATCTTACGTTTTACTAAAGTATTACACTTCGCGTTTGACGTCCGAATATCACTGTAATATTTAAATATATGGGTAGTTGTGAAAATGTAGGTAACCTGGGGTTCTTTAACGTGCGCCTAAAAGTAAGCGTACGGGCCTCTAGCGTTCTCAGCTCCATTGAAAATGTGGCCGCCGCTGCCTGAATTTGATTCCGCGACGTTTGGGACAGCAGTCGAACACCATCCACGTGAGGTCATGCTGATACTGCATGAATACATGACGCCACGGAGTGTTGATGCAAGTGCTTGAAGTGACGCTGCCAATAGTCGTGTCAGCTGTTCTGTGCCTTCTCTAGCTTCTTTCGCTTCTTATGAACCTTATGCGTCTTTTCTCAAGTGGGAGTCTCATTAAAATTTTTGTGGCTACATACTACTTGTAGTGGTCCGCACACATTACACATATATGAGCGGCACATCTCACATTTGAACGCGTTACTGTTAAAGTGTTCGTTTCAGAAAAAATACCGGTGCCGGGCTCGTTAATTGTGAGCGAAAAATCATCTTACGCGGGACCCAAAAAGCGAGAACGTTGCCAATAAACTAAACAAATCATGAAACAACCATGAAACACAGTGGGCACTGAACCAGGGTTGTTGGGGCCCTAGTGGGGATTGAACCCAAGTCGTTTGTGTGGCAAGCAGAGGTGTGGCACACGGCAACACCTGTGCTTGTGAAAACAGTGAACCGAGATTCCTCTGCTTGGAAATGCAGTGAAAGTAGCTTTCATTCTTCACGAACACACGCGTCCAGTATATATTCTTGCAATGCAGCATGAAATATCAGTAGTAATAATGCTTGGTACAAGTGTCCATTGCCAAAGGGCATCAGAATATGTAATTATCGTAATAGCTCCGTGGTTTAAAGCCGGCACTCCACTACAAAAGGCACACACGCTACTGAGCCTATTCCACAAGGCCGTGTGATGGGTGCATAGCAAATTCGAAAAGGTTTCATGTAGCATGTACTGTTTGAAATATGCTCTAGGGACATGTAGGATGTCGCTATCGCGTGGCGACTCCTAAAGGCGAAGCTTTAAGGTGGTGGTTCTACTGTCGCCATACTGTCGCCTACTGTCGCCATTGCGAGTAGTTCTGGGAAAAATACCAGACGGCGCCACCAAGTCAGGACTGGAAGGCCAACATTTCGGAGGTGAACTGCCACACGTGTGCCGGCGCGCCACACTGCATGACGAGGGGGTGCAAATCGCGCTGACACGGTTCGAAGAAATGAGGCACTGAGCAGGGGCTTTTTTTTCTCCCCTTCAACAACACCTCCATCTCTCTCCATGCTCACTAGCCCCTGACCCCTGTGGTCGCTGCTACCCCTGCGGGCTACCCCTGCGGTAGCCTGCTTGGCGAGCTGCTCTACGTTCCATACAGTGCCGGAATGCGGTGTTGAGTGAAAAACTCTATCGTGGAGGTCACAACAATGTATACAATGGAGATCAGACTTGGACTATGAGTATTCATGCGAGGTTCGACGGAACAGTTCGTTCTACAAATAATTGGGGTTGCTGGAGCATGATGCGGTTCGGTGGGATAGGAGAGGGCAAATTATATTTGACTATGTATACTTCCTTCCCAGTATGACCTAAGCTTCCAAATTTTCAAAAAACAACAACAACAAAAACGGGTAGTTAGGCAAATCGCGTGCTAAGAAGTGCGGCCGCTGTGACTCCCGGTGCCCAACACGTGCCGACTGCATGATCATTAGTTTTCCCCACTATACGTAGCGTAATTTATTTCATTAGAATTGAAACTTCAGCAGGCTAGTATGAATTCATCTTTTGGTTGATGCAGCGTTTATTTATCACGTTGCCGTACGCAAACCATCGGACTAGTCGACAAACTATCTTTATGACGAAAATGAAGCAATTACCTCTTGTGTGTCGTATGGGCGAGACTCGCACATGCGTGGCCTGAATGGTCCAGGTGCGTTATTCCCTTGTCCAAGGAACGACTTCTCTATTCGCGTACGCTATTTCAAAATCATTTTTTTTCCTGTAAAGGTCATGGCAATAACATGAAGAGTGATCGTTTCGCCCAAATCAGTTATTGACTGCAAGCTCGTAGATTCGAGGCCGTTACCTCAAGCTCTATAAACATCTCATGATAAAAACTGGGGCGGATTCACACAACCTCCCAGGAGTGCAACAAGGGAGGGGACGACTCATGGTACAGTGCATCTCCCATGCATCTTTCTACACGGCCGCTGCTTGTATTACTTCTATGTCGTACCCATTTCGAGTTCGTAGAGCGCATGCAAGGCAAAAACATGAGTACACAAATACAATAGTTGCAAAGGAGTTGAAGAAAAGGTCTTGTCGCACTGAATAAGGCTTTTGGATGCATGATTGGTCATTTCAAATAACTATGTCGGCTAACATATCTTCAAGCAACGAGTCTTAGTGTTGTGTATATGCTATGCAATGAAGGGCTGTCATGCAGTAAGCAAGATTGAGTCAATACACGTTGTTGTGACAATTTATTTAGTACGAAACGAGCGTCGGCAGCACTTGGTTACAGCCACGAAGACACCTGAACATCACACACACAAAAAAGCCCGCAGAACTACAACGCATACATTCAGAGAAATGTGGGATCGCACAAAGCAAAAGTACATATAATCACGACTTTCAGATGCGAACTTGTGACAGCAGAGAATGAAGGTGTGTGTTTTATTATTATTTTCCGTTATCCTATATCACACACGAACTTTTTACAAAAGTTCATTGGCGCTTCTGTGGTCATGTCTCTCGGTCATTGCTGCTGCAGAACGCACGTGAATGGCTGATGACACACCCGACACAAAGAAGTGAATTGCTACCTCATAGCTTGTTCGAGAAAGAGTCTTTGCTATCGTCAAATCTGAGCCTGCATCTGCCATTCGATATATACAAGGTCGTTCTCCTAATGTGCAGTTCTTTATAGCGAAGCTCTTACGCACGTACTGCTGCGTTGAGCGGCGGCGCCTGTTGGCGTCGTCGGCGTAACCAATAGAGCGAACAAGGACGAAAGAGAGCGAACGCGGAGTCTGCTGATGTCACTCGCCACTGGCCTCTAACCTCGCCTTCTTCCTCCGTCACGCTATCCCCCCCCCCCCCTGTAGCAGCTCGCGCGCGTGCAGGGCTGGCACGTGCACTGCGGCTGGCTTCGCTTGTCGTAACGGGGCTCTCGGCATTTCGCTTGGTTCGCGACGCCTGCAATGCACAAAGTGGTATGCGTAACGCTCGAGCACTGGCAATTTGCGTGGAAATATGTAAATAGCTACAACTGCAGATGGCCGAAACTACAGACGCACTTGGCGTTGCCCCAACACGAAAGTGCGCTCAAAATCACCATTAGGTAGCGTCGTCAAAATTGGTGAATTTCTTGACAGTGCACGCGCCCAGCAGTCCCACGACTCAAGGCTGTGGAAAATGTCCGAGTCGCCACTCTGCTTCGCCTCCTTGTTCTTCATCGAAGCTCGTTTAGACTGCTGGTGTGACTCAATTGCTTTCACATTCCACTGTGGTCTGCGTATGGGCATGCTGCGCGTAGTACGGGGATCTACAATTTCAGGTAACATGCAGTCTCTGTAAAATTTGATTAGTTGTGGAAGCATTCTGAATTTCCAAAAGTCATTATCTCTTTCGATCCGCTGTACGTGGATGCCCTTCGACGTGCAGACGACGAAGTGGCAGAAACTTCTATTAGTGATATGCAGCTGGCCTTGCACTTGGTAGAAATAGTTATGAGAGCAGCTCAATTTGGGTGGTTCGTGTAGTTGGCTCCTTTGATTGTACTTTTTAGCTGCCTCGGATGGCTCCATGTCCTTCGCAGTGAATGGGCACTTCACCTCCACGATACCGTCGTTTGCAATTAATCCGTCTGGCGACGCCGCCAAGAATCCGTACTCTGGGTAAACAAATAATCCGCAAGGTTGCACAGCAGTTTCCATTTCTTGCTCGTATAACCGGAGTGCAACACGTTCGTGTTGTCTTCCATGCTCAAGAGCGGCACTGGTGAAATTTTTCTTATAGAGCAGGGTCTTCACGAGCGTGTCACACGGTGTCCACTCCCTCCTTCGGCATACTGCATAGAAATTCGACGCCGTTAGGCGCATGTTTCTTTCAAAATGCCATGTAGGATTATCAGCCTGTCCTCGAGTAGCCTTCTCAATTTCCATCTGCTGTTTCTCATTCACCTGCAGGGTTGCTAAAACAGGCCGTTCTTTCTCGGCATATTGCTCTGGTGGCATGTCTGGCTGCTGGCAATTCGGACCATAATAAATCATTGAGTCGTTCACTGTAGACTCCTTGCGCTTATGCTGCTGGTGGCCATTTTCTTCAAACAGTTTTCTTCTGAGAGACTCTTTGTTTGCTTTCTGAGCCGTCTTCTTGCTTGCGTAG